AAAAGGTAATTCATGTAGGAGTCTAGCACAGCGCCTGCACTAAATGGTTATGTGCTGTAATTAGCACCTGGCTGCCACTCTTATTTAAATGGGATTTCTCAGAATCCCAGCATTGATTTGTTAATTCATAGGGTTTTCAGAACGCAGCAGCTGGGGAGGTATTAGAATCAGTCTTTCCCTGGGCATTGCAGGTTGAAGTCGGAATATTTCAAGCCACGTGTACTTGCCTTGGGTGGTGCTTATAACCTGGACCTTTCACAGATAGTTATGCAAATCCTCATCGCACTACCCTTCTCTAGGAGGAAGCAGTACTAGGTGAGCAGTGTCTACAGAGAGGTCCCAATAGCTTGGCTGCAACTCCTGGTTAGAAATCTAACAATCCACCCCAAACCCCGGGCTCCCAGCCCATTCTGCTCAGTGGTTCACCTGTTTTTGTAGAGCTTGGTCTTGCCCACAGAAGTGTGGAGTCTGGCCTGCAGTGAGGCTGGTGGGAAGGGCAGTCAGAAAGGTGAGCGTAGTCCTGAGGGCAGTCAGAGGAAGCGGAGAGGTTAGGGAGATCCATGGAAAGAGCTGAGGAAAAATGAGTAGCTGGGTGACTGGGTGAATGAGTGGGTCTGTAAAATACATCTTTTTGGAGAATGTGGTCTTTGAGATGGAATCTGAGGAGGAGAGTCAGGAATACTATTCCAGGCAGAGACGGTAACAGGAGCTGAGATGGGCAAATGGAAGGTCTTCATTAGGCAGTTGTGTCCTGCGTGCCTATGTGCTGGGCACGAGGTTGACACTGGGCTGGTGGGGAGGATGGGACAACTTGGGTTAGCTGGAACCCTGGTGATGGGTGATAACGTGGAGGCGGTGGATGAGGGCCCTGCAGAGAGTGGGTATCAGATACCAAATAAAGGAAGCCCAGAACTCAGGTGGGAGCCATCTGGGTGTGGGGTGAAACTCGAGGAAGGGCTGGAGAAGGGACCTCTTGCAGGGTTCGCTTTAGACACTGACTGCTTCAATTTATGCATCACCTATGCCTGATGCTTATCACCTCTCAGCATCTAGTCCCGTCTGATGTCAGCTTCCCCTAATGGGAAGGAGCCAGTGCACTTGTTTTCTCCGCAACCTACAGGGTAACTTTTGCCTTCACATAATTTTGTTATTAAAACCAAACAAAAACAAAAAACAACATCTGTCCCTGTCCCCTAGCCCCTCAGTCTTCTCCCTCCCAGCCCGAGTCTGTGAGAGCCAGGATTCTTACTCTAATTCTGTGGTCCTTTTTTAAGAAAGTCTTCTTGCGGCAGATCCCCCTTCTTCCGCTTTGTTTCTCCTTTGTCTGAGACCTACTCTCTTTTCCTTGGGTCTATAGAGAACCCCATGTGGCATTTTCCGTCCTAGTTGGCCCTCCTCAGCTTCCTTATTTATCAAACACTGCAAACCCTTTGCACCCTTGTTGAACCTAAAACCTCAAATCTCTTTTATCCCTTCAAGGCTGGAGGCTAAAGCAAAAGTCAGATTTGATCAAGAGTTTCATCCGTGGCATTCTCATCCCAACCACTGTTTAATATGCAGGGGAAGCAGCCTGGTGAATGAGAGAGAACCCAGACTCTGGGGTCAGCGGACCTGGGTATATATATGAATGCCTCTCTCTTCCCTCGCACTTGACTTTTCTGTGCAAGGATTAGTAAGAAAAAGTATGCTAAATGTAAAATAGCCCTTAACAGAAAAGCAAGTGCCTGAATTCAAACTAAAAAAATGCCTTTATATAAGGTACATAAACAATTGGGCTTTGGGATAAAGAGCACCAGTGAAAGACTTTTCCATTAAGCAGTGTTAAAGACAAGCTTGTACGCTCTGGTATCCCAGGTTGTAGCCTTAAGCAGAAATTTTTGCACCATCTACTGTTTCCCATAAATCTTAAACCCATGTAGTACCTGTTCCCTTAGCATGAAAATGACTACATTTTTGTTAACATTGAGCAAAACCTATGCCCCAGGAAAATACACTGTATAGTAAGTCCTCACTTAATGTCATCGATAGGCTCTGTGACTTTACGAAATGATGTATAACGAAACCAATCTTACCACAGGCTAACTGGTATGAATCAGAGTTACCTTCCTATAGCATCTTATCAACATTATAATGAAACCATGTTATAACGAAACAGTATTATGACGAACGACAGTATTCGTTATTCAAGGACCTGCTGTATTTCTCCTGTGGCTCCAGTACCCTTCTGGCATCCGGGGTCTGGCAGCCCAGGAGCACAGGTTTAAGGGAGTTACAAACGTAATGCCCCTGAGGCTAGCTCTGGCACAATGACAGGCACACCAAGACCCTTAATCCCCTTTCATTTTTCCTTGTTCCTCAAAGGCCTTTTAATCTAAAAGTGAAGGTGACAGGTTAGCTACTTCATCAAAAGGTAGAATAAAAAAAATAAAATAAAAAAAAAGTTTAGCCATCACTGCCATGTCTGGGGGGAAGAAAACAAAACTTTAAATCCAGTGTGTGATGTTTGATGCAAGGCTGTTCCTTGAGGAAGTCCCCTGTGGGAACGGAGGTTCCCCACCTAAGAAAGAAGTTTTCAAACATTTTCGTCACAACTTGAAAGTCACCCCAGACAAAGGGACCAGTTATAAGCTAAGTATCTTCTATTGATAAGAATCATATGCTTGGAGGACAAAAAAAAAAAATGCCTGCATCAGAAAATGACCATCACTTTTTTCTGGCTAGAACATGTCCTAAGGAGTCATCATGTGAGAACCACTTATGGCTGCCCCAGAATCAGGGTGGGGGTAGGAGTGGGTAGCACAGGTGAGAGTGAAATGGAAGAAGCAGCATTAGCGTTAGGCACCTAGGAGGCTGTCACTAAAATGATCGATGCCAAAGAGCTCCTGAATAGTTAAGTAGCAATACCAGTAATAACAGCAGCTTGTATTGGTATTGCCTTTTAAAGGCTACACACAGCTCATGAACTTGACCTCTTTCGTGCCCTAAATCCTCTCGTGGAGGGAGGCCAGGTGTTGTTGGAAATGAGATCAGTGGCTTCTCAGGTCCTACAATGACCAGTTAGTGGTGCTGGTCCCTACTTCATTACGTGCCCCATGCACTGGACCACCAGATACATGCTTGCAGAGCTAATTAAACTTGATGAAGATAAAAAAAGCAAACCACAGCCTGTGTCTCCCTAGGGTGTTTTCTTAAATTCATCATCAGAAATTCTGAATACACACATTTGGTTTAAAAATAACCTGGATTTTTATGAACTGCCAAAATGAACTCCATGTCATAAACACATTTGCTGCCTTCTTCATTCCCCCCAAGAGCTGACATGGTAACAATAGCAATGAAGTGTTTAAGCAGCACTTTTCATCCTCACAGGATAAAGCTGATTAGTTACCCCTCATTCTCCAGGCAAGAGGTGCCTGTGCAGGGAAGTGGGAGTGATTTTGCTGACACCTAAGCGGCCCCTTTGGGCTTGTCCTAGGGCCGTGAGTAAACTCCAGCTCAGCCTTCCCTGGGGAGTTGGGGGAACAAGACTGTTTGCCGGGAGAGTGTGCTGATGTCTCTTTCTTTTCCAGCTGCCATTCTGGGTATGTTGGAGCACGCTGTGAGCACGCGGACCTCCTGGCTGTGGTGGCCTCCAGCCAGAAGAAGCAGGCCATCACCGCCTTGGTGGTGGTCTCCGTCGTGGCCGTAGCTGGTCTCATCATCACGTGTGTGCTGATACAGTGAGTACCTGCTGTCCCTAAGTCATGTCTCCCGCCCGCCTCCCCCCAGCCCCGGGGACATCTGCAGCTTGCCCAGATAACAGGGCAACCTCAGTTCTGTTTATTGCTGTGATGTCTGATGGGTATCACCTAAGCCGAGAGGAACTTTGGTGACAGCCAAGCTGTGAAAGGGCACACATGCTGGGGGGGTCCCAGCAATGGGTCTGTGCACTGCTGGAAGCCAGTGTAGAACAAAGGCACTCTCTCCCTCTCCATTCTTGATTTGGAGCCTTTACTATTTCGTGCTGGGGACATGTAGGTGTTCCAGAGTGAACTGGAAACAGCTCCTAGCCTCCTCTGGGCAGGAGCAGAAGCGCTTCCTCTCTGCAGAAGCATTCTGCGGATCTTAAAGCCATGTCGAAGGCCACTGTTGCTATTAGGCCAGGCTGATGACAGCCCTTCCTCTTTTCTGCACTTCTCTGCCCTCCTCATCCCCAAAACTCAGTGGATGCCTTGCCTTCTCCAGGAAGCCTTCCTGGGCCCAGACCAGTAGAGACCATTTTCGGATGTTTCTTAGCCCTATCTGCTTCCCCATATCTTCTAACTAGACTGCTCTGCAAAGGGGGAAACCCTGGGGATGCATTTCCAGCATCTGGCCAGATTTATTCCCTGGAAATATCTGGAGACATCTAAGCCCTCAGAGAATTTATACCTAATTGGATATGCACAAGGAATTCACAGAATGACTAAAGGCTGCTGGTAGCTTAGAGTAGATTAACTCCTGGTGGAAACAGTAAGTGGATGGATGGGTGATTCTGGCAAGGGCTAGTGTAAACAGCTGTGTTAAGGCAGGAAGCCACACTTTAGCCCCCCAAGGTTGCCTAGGATTTTTGATAGATAAGAGTCTCTGTTGTTTATTGGTTTGTTTGTTTGTTTGTTTGTTTGTTTGTTTGGGGGGGGGCTTCTAAAGCACACACTCCAGGTTCTCTCAATGAATGGAGTGCCCCTTCAAGCCCCAGCTTATTGACAGTAGTCACAACCTGCTCACGTCCTCCTCCTAGAACACCCAGCATTAAGCCAGGAGAAATGAGATCTGAACTGGGCTGACCTTTCCTTCCTCTCCAAGCAGTATCTGTTCCACTCGCATGTGTCTTGGGAAAACATGGTAGCAGGTAGTGGAAAGGCAGCCCTGGTTCAGGCTGGAGCAGAGCTCAGGTTCTGCCCTCATGAAGACCCTCCCGGCGGAAGCAGCAGCAACCTAATAGACCGCTGGCCTCAATTCTCATGGCTGGCTAGCTATCTGTGCTCACCCATCACTTCCATAGTCCTAGTTCGATGGCCATAGGGTCTTAGAGCCTTAGGAACAAGAGTGGGTGCCCCCGTGGGCTTCCCCAGAGGGACTTAAGAGCTCATTTATCCAGATTCTCTGGAGATAGGAGCAAACCAGGATACCTCTCTCTTTCCCAGGGAGGCAGCCAGTCCCACCTCTCCTGGCCTTTCCCAGTCCACCCTTGCCAGATACCAAGTTCAGAATCTCTGAGTCAGAGGCTAAGCCCTCATCCCCGCCAGGCTGCTAGTTGCCTGGACTGAGGGCATCCCTGAGATGTAGCGTTTAGGACCAGTTCACCTATGCCAGAGAGATCCAGAGGCCTTGATCCCACTGCCCTTGGGATGCTCCTGGCTGGGACGTGACTGGGGCCAGCCCACCTGACTAGCTGACGACAAACAGCTGTCACCTGTCACTGATGGATCTGGAATCAAGGCCTGTAGATCCCTCCGACATGGGATGAGCTGGTCTCCACCTGGACTGTGCAACGTAGGAGGGACCCTTGCCAGGTAGACTGCACTGGCCACCCATGCTAGAAGCAGGTTGGGCAAAAATGTTACAGGGCCCCTTCTCAGCTCTGCTGCCCAAAGATTCAGGGGCCTGGGTAACCTTCCCAGGGCTGGGATGGGGATCGTCAATTGCCCCCAGGCACCAAGAGGGAAGGAAGGACAGCAACAGGCTTGTCTTGGGCCGTGGCAGCCAGGAGATTTCTCCCAGCCCCAGTCAGTGGATGCATAGATTATATATACATCAAGGTGAGAAGGCGTGGACGTGAAGTCTTCCATGGCATCCCCAGGGAAACCGCCATCAGTGTCTCCTGAATGTCTTACTCAGTGCTTTCTTCTCTGATCTTCTTTTGAGTTCTCTGCTTCTTTTTTCATGCTCACTCTGAAAACTGTTCTTTCCTGCCCACAAAGGGAGGCAGGAGCATTCATGATCCCAGTGCTTCGGGACTCTGGGTAACACAGCTTCACCGGGAGGTTGAGTTTGCCACAACTAAAGAATGTTAGTCCTCAGAGAAGAATTTAAAGCCACTGAGATCCAGGACTCATTCGCTCATTCTTTCGATGGGTCTGTGCAGCCCATCTATGTTCCCTGCTTTGCAGCTGGCAGTACCTGGAGAACACCCTCCCCCAAGCCCTCATAGCTCTGCCAGCCTGAAGTGACTGCTTTGTCCCAGTCCTGACAGCCGTTTTGAGGCTATTACTACACTTCTGGAGTTACCCAACTGCTCCTTTATAGATCAAGCAGCCAGGTGGGTGGGTGACCAGGCCCCTCTGACAGCTGGGAAAGCTGGAGCCAGGTTGCCCTGAGCAGAGCTGCACAAATGGAGCTGGCACTTTGGTGTGGCCAGCATCTGCCCTAAAGGCCACCACCAGCAAGGCCCTCAGTCCCCTGCTGTGTCTGAAACTCTGGAGACACCCCCCCGCACACACACAGGAAGGCTGGTTTAGAGCCCGGAGCTGCCCAGCAGATGCTTAGGCAGATGCTGCACCAACTGGGAGTTCCTGCCAGGCTCCTGCCTAGACGATGTTCTCTATGTCTTTGCAGCTGCTGCCAGGTCCGAAAACACTGTGAGTGGTGCCGAGCCCTCATCTGCCGGCATGAGAAGCCCAGTGCCCTACTGAAAGGAAGGACTGCTTGCTGCCACTCAGAAACAGGTGAGGCCTTTTTCCCTTGGGAGACTATTGGATGGAGAAAATGACCAGCTTCTCCAGGTCAGGGCAGTTCTTGGAGGATAAAGCAGGAAGGGAGTAGAGGAAGAGGCTATTTATCCTACCAAGTCAGATTTAGTTTATTTTAAGGTGTGTTTTACTCAAAAGGGAGCTCTTTTATCCTTACTGATGACTGTGTGACTTTTAACAAGTTACTTAAACTTTCAGCCTCAGTTTCTTATTAAAAAGACGTTGTGCAAATTGAATGAGTACTGACATAAAATAGCTAGTATGGTGTATCACCAACTGTAGACATCCAACAGATGTTTGTTTTCTTTCCCTTGAGAAATCACCTCCTTTTTCCCCTATCCGTGAAATGAGGGATTTGGCCTATAGACGGTCTCTAAGGACTCTTTAAACTCTTACATCTTGTGACCATCATTAAGTTTACCATTGTTTCATGAATATTTTTCATCCCTCAAAAAAGGTTGGATGTCTAGATGTGGGGCCAAAACCACAACTCAGGAGCCCTCATCTGAGCATCACTAGCTTGGGGCTCATGGAGCCAAAGTGTTCCTTCATCCAGACAAGCTTTAAAAAGTCTCACCTCAACAGCAGTTTTTCTGGAATTCTATTTTGACCAATAGAGTCCATCATAAAAGTTTATTTTCAGGAAGTAGGGGGTTAGGAGACAATCACCCCAGGCTGATCCACCCCAAGGTGTCCCTCTCTAGTAAACCGTTGGCATTCCAGAAGCTCAAGGTTGCATGGAGAGGGTGGGAAGAAAAGGGACTGGGAAATTAGAACCCTGATGTGTTAGTTAATCCTCATTGTATATCTGACCGGGAGAGAACTGAAGGCCCAGGAGCAGCGTTTGTTATGCATGTCAAGAACCACAGTAAGAACCACATGGTCAGTTGTTTTTTATCTGGGAGGGTGCTGATCCATTGATCCTCACAGTAGCCTTAAGGAGGAGGAGGGTTTGTGGGTGATGTGGGTAAACTGAGTCTGCCAAAGGCCTGCTTGGGACCTACCATGAGTCCATGGGGGAGCTAGGATGAGAACCAAGGCCTTTGAAAGCCCCACTCACATCTCTCTTCTACTACCTCTGGGGGCCATGCATTGAACAAATGAAGGAAAATATTTTTTATTTTGTCGTCTAGCACCAATAAAAAAATTGTTTAAACCTTTTAAGGAAATTTATGGTAGGTTTTTGTACGATTTGTCTGCACTTCATCGGAGTCATACAAGGTAGAATAAGTTTCTTCTTAATGTTACTTCTTCTCTACCCACATTTGGGAGGACTTTAGCTTTGAGCCAGGGGATGGGTCTGGCCTTCCAGATACGGCCCCCAAGGCTGAAGCCCCTCACCCTGAGATGACGCATACCTCCCCACCTCCAGAGGGATCATGGGAGGGGCCAGGGTAAGAAGATGCCCAGGCTGACTGGACTCAGGAGCTGCTGAGAACAGGGTCCATGCTGCCTCACAACATACCTAGAGGGTGCCCTCAGGGTCCCACCCATTGAGAAACAAATGGATCCATTATTGTATGGCCATAGAGGAAGCCATTCTGCCACCAGAGCCCTAGACCAGCTCATGAGCTGCCCACTAAACTGCACCTTATGGGGGAACTGTCCACAGGCTGGGTTGAATCACCCCCAGGTGAATTGAGGCCCACACAACAGAGTGCATCCCCTAATCTTTTCTGCCACAACTCATTTTACTTCGGTTAGCCTTTCCTTTGGCACTGAAAGCACAGTTTCAGAAGCTACTGCCCCTGAAGCTGAACCAGCAGAATTTGGACTAGGGCCTGACTGCCCGAGAGAACCTGGTGACATTGGCTGATGCATCTCCAAGTTTGTCTCAAGCCTGTTTTGCCAGCATGGCTGGCGTCTAGCCCACACTGCTTAAACTATTTTTCCTTCCTTCCAGTAGTCTGAAGAGCCCAGAGGAGTTCAGCCAGGCAGACTGCGGCAGTCCTGATGAAGAAAGGACCTCAGGATGGCCCAGCGAGGGATGCCCGGGACGTGCCGGCAGACCTTCCTACTCTGCCTGCACTCACCTGTGCAGCCTTTTTGTCTTTTGTGGGCCTTCCTTCAAAACTCTGTCAAGAACTCTGTCTGCTTGGGGTTATTCGGTGTGACCTAGAAAAGAAACCAGTGGACCACAATTTAAAAACTGGTCAAAAAAGAACTGCAAAGGGGTGGACTTCCTGTTTACCTAGATAAGCTGTGTGCGTTAGTTGGCATCTGAGTCCAGTGTGTGTAGCTGTCTTCTGCCATTCATGGATGCCAGGCTGTGTTTCTTTTTAATGGGCCCATTTCTCCACAACAGTATGCATCCTTCCCAACTGGAGATTCCTATAGTTGTTACAGTTTTTTCTCATCCACTTATTGGGGAAGACGGTGGAGAAAGGGTCACTGCTTATTGTTATGTGAAGACGCCAAGTTTTAAGAGGAGCTGTGTCTTTCTTCTGTCCGTGAGACCTTCAACCAGCAGTCACCTTCCACAGACACATGAAGTTGAGGACCTGCCAATTGTCACTACCCTTGGACATAATTTCTTATTTATTAGATGGATGATGGTTTTATTTTTAACCTAAGTCAATGTATAAAGTATAAAACTATTTCAGACTTCTACATTAATGATTGATGTATTGCTGGCTGCAAAGTTATTCTGATTTAAAAGGTCTGGCCTCTTTGGGACAGGTAAGGCTCAGGAAAAGCCACCCAGGAGGTACAGAGATGGAAGCAGAGGATGAGTTGCTGATGGGAGCAAGGATTGGGTTTCAGAGGTTGTGCCATTTAAAACGCAAAACAGGTCAATGCCTCCACATACATTCAGATGGAAAAGTTAGCCGATCCAGCAGCATAGATTTGTCACTTCTGTCAGAAGAGAGAGAAAGGGAGTGCCTATGT